TGTGGTTTCTACTCTTCTTCCTCTGAGTTGTTGGCGAGAAGAGTGTGGGGGAGGAACGTGGACAGACGTCTCTTTTCTGTTGTCTTTGCAAATGTTCTTGCGTTGCCTTCTTCAGGTCCGTCAAGCTGGGTTAAGTGAGGTGATTTCGTGAGGCTGGTGGCGGGGGTGTACACAGAGGGTCCGGGGGCTTAGCTGGAGCTGCAACACGACGTGTGGCACAGCAAGGCCAGACATGTTCCTCCACCTTACCACAGCGGGACACTTCCATATCGTCGTATCAGGTGGCTCGTCGTTGTCGGGAATGTCTGGGGATGATATGGAGCACGTGGACAATTGGAGCTCACACTCGAGAGAGTGTCTTTTGGTAAACCCATGGTGGGGATTTTTGTACAATCGAAGCGCCATTACGCTAGAATAACCTCAGCTAAATAAGAATTTTCCCTAGTCATCCCGAGGGCTTGCCTCACCCCCGGCCAGGAGTGGTGGGTCTTGTGCCAGTGATATTTATCTGCTCAATACTGTCTGGTTAAGTCCAAAACCTCACTATAGTCCAACAGCTTCACCAGTCCAGGAATCTTTATACCTCTCTACCTCAGCCACTGACTCCCTTTGTGCACAAATACTCTCAAAATAACGCTGAAAACAAGGACTTGACTCACACCACCGTGTTGTTGTCCAGATTCCCATTTTCTGTACTTATGAGTTAGGAACAGTTGAGATACTAATGGAATTGCAGCTGAACACACCCTCTCCCAGGCAGGCTGACAGTGGCCGCACCAATGGCTATTTGGAGCTAGTTTAGAGTTTTTTATTAGCAATTGCGAGGAAGTGGTGTTGGAGTGTGTTGTTCCTGGCCTTTAGTTCATTAGCTCGGAGGTTTTCTGTATTTTCAGAGAGATGAATGCCCCTGTGACAGGAGAGCAGGGAGGTTGTGGTCCTGTACCTGTGCCACGGTTTGTTGGTATATTGTACTCTACTGGTTGAGTAAGGCCACCTAGAGTCCTTAATTCCCCTATCTGAGAGCAACAAAACTCCTGGTCAGGATGCTTACAGCGTGTGTGGCAGAGGTTGGGACAATGATCATCAGTACAGTTTGTGTTGGAGCTTCTTTTAGTCGTTAGTCCACACACACTGTAGTAGGAGGAGGGTGCGTGGCCATCAATACCCTCTATCATCTTAACCTTGTGGTGCTCACTGGCGAATCTTACACTGCTACTGTCACTGGCCATGATAGCAGTTTATTTACAAGTAAGAAGTAGGTGAGGGAGGTATTGCCATGCACCAGGAGGCTGGTCGGTGTTAACTCGCCCAGGGCCGAGTTCTTCTTACAGATCCTCCAGGGTAATGCCACAGTAAGAGAGTGTGGTCGAAATAACTAAACAAAATAAAAAAAAGTAAAAGAAAAGGAACACAGTCGACTGTGGCAGCTTGGGTTTTGCGTTGCTACACGTTGGTGCGGTATGTTAACCGGAAGCGTGAACCGTGTGACTCCTCGTTACAAACGAGCACCTCGCGCAGCCAATGTAAACAATGTTGCCCGGGTCAGGGGTTGAGTGTGCCGGCTACTCCCTCGGGTCAATGTTATATATTTTGAAATATTAACGTTTGAGACTTTCCGAGAGTATTTACTCCACAGAGTCGTCGGGTGCACCTCCACACGCCTCCCTGTAGGTGGTCATACAGTTACTAGTCGTAGTTCCAGCAAAAATCAGGGAAATCCTTTCCTTCATATTCCCATCCTCCTCCCTCCCTCCATTCCTCCCCCCACTCTCTCCTCCTACCCACTCTTCTTCCTCCCCCTCATCATCTTATTTCTTCCCTGCTTCACTCCCTACACTCCACCACCCTCTTACCTTTCATTCTCCCCCTCCTTCCCACCCTTCACCCTTTCACTCCTCCCTCCCTTCCTACACTCCACCCTCTTACTCCTTCCATACCCTCCCTTCTCTCACACTCTCCTCCTCACCCCCTACCTTCATCCTCCTCACCCTCACCACCCCTCCATCACCCCACACAGGAACACAGTACGCCCTCCTACATAACCCGGCTCACTATTTCCATCACGATGTTAAATGTTAAAATATTAAAAGTTTTATCCTTCTGTACTTCACGGGCCTCAGGATCTGCCCCGCCGCCCACCTGACGCCCACCACACTATCTACTCTTCCTCAGGTGTGAGAAGATTAGTGGTGGGCGTTGTGTTACCTGTTTAATATAGTCAAGGGTACTAGGAGATGCTAGTGATGGTCCCGTCCTAGGAACTATCCCCTAGCCTTGATGTATGACTTGAAGGAATCGAGAGAGTTTACGTGCGCGCGTGTGTGTGTGTGTGTGTGTGTGTGTGTGCGCGCGTCCATGAATGTGTGTGTGTGTGTGTGTGTGTGTGTGTGTGTGTGTGTGTGTGTGTGTGTGTGTGTGTGTGTGTGTGTGTGTGTGTGTGTGCGCGCGCGTCCATGAATGTGTGTGTGTGTGTGTGTGTGTGTGTGTGTGTGTGTGTGTGTGTGTGTGTGTACGTGTGTGTGTGTACGTCTGGGCCGGGAGATGTCCATTCTCTGGTAATTGGCTCACCATTAGTTGGGTCCAGACCTTAAAAAATAATAGCTGACCGCAATTAGCTGGGTCTCTGGTGGCCTCCAGGTCTGGTAACTAAAGATTTTCCTATTAAGGCATTTTATCCATTTACCTGTGAGCTTCTCCTCTCCTTTATGTACCTCACCAGATATAAAAGATCATAGAAAAAAATATTAGGGTTTTAAATTCTTGGTTGAGTTAATTTTTTACCGTAATGATTTGTATTGATTTTTTTTTAGTGGTATATTGATTATTATTATTGTTATTATTATTATTATTATTATTATTATTATTATGCTATTATTTTATTGTTATTATTATTTATATTTTATTTATATTTTATTATTTTACTATTATTATTTTATTAATAATATTATTATTATTATTATTATTATTATTATTATTATTATTATTATTATTATTATTATTATTATCGTTGTTGTTATTAGGTAAACGCTTTAAAAATATTTAAGAAAACAACTTTCTGAAAGTGTGTGTTTTTTTTTTACAGTAATTAGTAGCCTGGATGGTAGTAATTAATTCCTTTACAAGTCACGAAACACAATGTCAAAGCAATTGTGTTTTATTTCACATGATAAAGACACAAACCTTAGCGACATGTTCCATTAGGATTTTATTAACGTTAATAATACACAGCTGACGACACAGGTCACGTGATGCTTTGTTTACATAGTCAGCTGTTTGATGTCACACCGGCATTTAAAGATTAGCATAAAAAACGATACATTTCTTATACTTCGTCATTTTTATTATGTCATAAAAAATACATTGACCAAAAGTAAATATTTTTGTCTTCAAGGAGATCAAATTGTTATATAAACTTAATGTTATTTTATAGAGAAAGAAACATTGTTAAAAACTATATAATGTTAGGACAGAAAATTATTTGTAAGTTATTGGTAAAATGTGTTTGTTGATTTGTAATGCTTAGTTCTAATATATACAGGAAATTTACATACATACATACATACATACATAGTGGTAATTGTTGGATAATCTTCACTGATTGGCTACTCTAAGTCTTGACGCGAACTGCTTGGCATAAATGACAGGTTAGGCCTTGACACCTGAAATATATCTTTTGTGTGTTAAGTCACTAGATCTATTTCATTTCCCTCTTTCAATGGTAATGTGAAATTGATATTCAAGGGAATATCTAGGGAAGATCTAATGTTCCTCTCAAAGGTAAAAAAATAAGTATTTATGATGGGGAAAGATTATGGAAAGATGTGTGTGAGAGAGTGAGAGGCAGAGGGAGAAGCGAGGTGAGGGAAGTGCAAGACTTAAGACAATTGTTTGTATCAATGAAGACAGAATTGTTTATTGTTATTAATTGATTTCTTTTTCTCGTTAAGTCCAGGTAATTTACCCATTTTTAATAATGGTTGCCCCTCGTGTAACGAGGATGGCCGGCCCAAGGGCCACCTAGGCGTGAATTTGTTAATGTGTAGAAGCTGTCGCCAACACAACAACCACACCCTGAGTTAACGAGCTGCTTGACCCAGTGTCAAGGAATAGTCCGAGAAGATCGGACAACTCGCCAACTGCATTGGCTAACCATTATCCTAGGATACGATCCGCACATCGATTAACATCCAGGTTCCCAATTACTGCTGGGTAGACAGAGGCAAAGGGCGTAAGAAACTTGTCCGTAGTTTCACCCAGCCCGGGGATCGAACCCGGGTCCGCTGGCCTGTGAGGCGAGCATGCTGACCATTACACCAACACACACACAGGTATACACACACACACACACACACACTAGTATATATAAAAGTACAGGTATAAAAAATGAAAGAAAATATTACTGTGAAAAAAAACAACACTCGAACCAAATAATAATTAAGTGGGTTTTTACCCTTGAACGGGTGGGCATCTTACTACAGGTATCAAAAGTTTGGATAAAATGATGAAAACTGATAATATTAATATAAACTAAAGACCAATTTATAAACAAACCCGACATAAACACTGGCGAGGTCTCGTCAACATAATGCTCCTGGCTCCTCATACACAGACAATAATGCTCCTGGCTCCTCATACACAGACAATAATGCTCCTGGCTCCTCATACACAGACAATAATGCTCCTGGCTCCTCATACACAGACAATAATGCTCCTGGCTCCTCATACACAGACAATAATGCTCCTGGCTCCTCATACACAGACAATAATGCTCCTGGCTCCTCATACACAATAATGCTCCTGGCTCCTCATACACAGACAATAATGCTCCTGGCTCCTCATACACAGACAATAATGCTCCTGGCTCCTCATACACAGACAATAATGCTCCTGGCTCCTCATACACAGACAATAATGCTCCTGGCTCCTCATACACAGACAATAATAATGCTCCTGGCTCCTCCACAGACAATAATGCTCCTGGCTCCTCATACACAGCTTCTACCCCCCCCCTCATGCCTCACATAAGCTCCAGATCAACAAATTCTTCAGTGGAGACCATCTTGTTTGAGCTGTGACCATCTAATGACCCTGGGGTACTTGCAGGAGTCATCACCGTATCGGAGAGCGCCCCTGTGTCCTCCGAGTTACCCTTACAATCCCCTTCTTCGGCTATACCGTCAGGTTGATCTTTACGACGCTTACTAGAGCCCGCAGAACGATTGGAGCCCGCAGAACGATTGGAGCCCACAGAACGATTGGATCTTATGGAGCGAATGGACCGCATAGAGGAGAATTTCGGGAAGGTGATGGATTGGTTGTCCTTAGTAAGCCTCCGGCATTGTAGAATGACCACCACGGCAGTGATAGCTACACTTAATATCAACACCAGAATGATGATGACGAGTAGCCAGCCTGGGATGATGTAGCCATTGACTTGTTGTGGGTTACCTGAGGGAGAGTATACCTTACCTTAGTGCTTTAATTAGTGGAGAGAGAGATCCTGGGAAATAGATATATTATATAGGTAGATATAGTAAATTGAAAGATATATAGATAAATAGGTTGTCCAGAAAATTAGGTGCAAGAAAATTGGTCCCTGGAAAATTAGGTCCCAGAAAATTCGATCGATAGAAATTTTTTGTTGGGTTAAGTTAGGTTAAGATAGGTTAGTCACTCCTTTATCCCAGTTATGTTCGGTTAGCGTAGTTTTGCAATTATATACAATTTACATTTCGGCCACTATAAATGTCATCATCCTAACCTAACCTAACCAAACCTTTAGGTGATTGCGCTCTCCTTAACATTTACTCCTTCCCCCAATTTTCTTTAGAACCCAATTTTCCTGCAACCCAATTTTTCAGAGACAAAAATTTCAGAAGCTTAACTGAAACGGATTCACTTAATTTTCATATTCCGAATGAAAAGACAAAAAAAAAGTACCTTAAACAAAACACATATTGTAGTTATTATATTAACTTCCTATATCACTACTTAGGAATTAATTTTTTTTTTACCGTCATTAATAGCAGGAGGTTGAGTTGTGATGTCTGTAGCGTCTTCGGTAGTAGTCATCATGCATGGTTCAACATCTGTACAGGAAGAATAAAAAAAAAAAAAAAATAAAAACTACCTATGGAATTATAGCCCAGTGATATTTTATAATTATAATTTTACTACAAACTTTAGTAATTATATTTTCTCTATAACTTGAGACGAATGAGGAAATAGAGCGAAAGTAAAGCTCAATGAGGTTATGGAACGTAACATCAGTTCTGGGTCATACATGCTAGGTTAGGTTGGGTTGGATTAGGTTGGGTTGGATTAGGTTGGGTTGGGTTAGGTTGGGTTGGGTTAGGTTAGGTTCGGTTATTTGTTTAGTTAGGTTAGCTTAGGTAAGGTTTGATTAGATTAGGTTAAGGTAGGTCAGGTCAGGTCAGGGGAAGGACCTCGACTCCTGGTCTTACCTGCCGAAGGAGGATGACGACCATCCACCTCCTGGTACCGAGGCTCACAGGCGGCCACTAGGGCGTCTCCCTCCACGACCTCCACCTCCACCCACTTGTCTCTGGCCAGGGGCTGGTAGAGGGTGAGCCCGCCTACAGGAGCACCGTCCACTAGTGCCTGTAGGGACGACGGAGGCAAATAAGGACGTACGGTAAACCCTCCACGTAACTGATAAAGAGTCCGGTAAATGGAGGTTTCATATATAACGAACCCTTCATCTTGTAGGCTTCCCTCGCCATATAAGCCGTTAAATGGAGGTTTCATATATAACAAACTCTTTATCTAGCGGACTTCCCTATCCATATAATCCGCTAAATGGGGTTTTTTTTATAAAACGAACCTTTGAGCTAACGGACATTTGAACCCTTAAGATAAAACCCTTCAAATCAGTACCTCAGACATCTCATATATGGAGTGGTTCAAAAAGAATATCATGGCATCTTTGAACCCTTAACTATCAGTGACCCATAACTTACCCCAATATTACCGATCTGATCATTCCAAACGAAAGTAATGTTCTTCAGGTCTTGTGGTGGGCCGAGGTCATCTGAGGTCAAGTAAGACTCCCTCTGACCTCGAGAAGAAGCATAAGTCAGACTCATGTTGATGTGACCTTGACCCTGATGTAGGTACACTGTGTTGTCACCTTGTTGAGTCTGGGCTACCTTACTGTACACACACCCTGGAGTAATATAGACACGTTAGACTAGCTACGACAGACAGACAGACAGACAGACAGACAGACAGACAGACAGACAGACATAGCTTAGAAATTCGTGTGAAATCAAAGAAAGACATCAAGTACAATATAAACACACACACACACACACACACACACACACACACCCACACACCCACACACACACACACCCCCACACACACACCCACATACACACACACCCACACACACACACCCCAACACACCCAAACACAGTGACACCTCATTGTCAGGCAAAAAAATAAAAATAAATAAATAAAATTAGCCTGGAGTCAATAACACTTACATAAGGCGTCCCTGAGTAAATATTTTGTAGATGTGTTTCATTACTAGAGGTCAGCTTTATATTACATTTAACCACCACCATTATGTTGCTTAACGAGCTCTTTGTAACACCAGACTTGTCGTTAAAAATGACAGAAGGAATTTTTGTAAATCTAAAACAAAAAAAAAAAGGTCAACTGACTATTGTATAACTTTTTGGGGGGTAAAATATCTATGAATTTCGAACCTCTAAATGCCAGAAATTAGATTTTTTTCTTTAATATAAATTTTTCCAGTTAAAAAAAATTTATATTTTTTTATATTGAATAGGATGTGAAGGTTGTGATACACTGAATGATTGTCATATTGTCGTGTGTGTGTGTGTGTGTGTGTGTGGGCGCGCGTGTGTATGTATGTATGTATGTATGTGCGCGCGTGTGTGTGTGCGTGAGTCTTACCTGTTAGACAGTTGTAATAGTAGTCCATAGGAGAATGAACTCCCCATGACATGCGGACAGGAGGCATCAAAGCCTTAGTAGAAAACATCAAACGACCTCGATGTTTCCCACGACGCCCCACCAACAGCACACCCGAGGAGGAGGAATCCTTTACCGCATCCTCCGAATCCTTATCTACTTGCAACCAGAGTTCTGTCGTATCCTTTGGGCTGAATATCTCCACTGGCCACTGGCGATGCACACTAGATCCTTCAGGACAGTTGGCTGCCACCATCCCTCCCACGAAGAGGATGGCGCAGGATTGGTTAGTGGCGGTGGATGTGAGGTAGAGCTGAGCTGATAATGACTTGGTGTGTGGTGTTATGCCTATTGATGTCTGATGCTGGAGTTCCTTCACATTGGCTTGGTTGATGTCTTCCTGACCCTCGTATACGATACAGTCTAGAAGGAAAATAAAGATATATTGAGGATTTTATACTTAGAAAAAATATACTTAGAGAAATATTTACTTAAAAAAAAGATAGTTAATTCATTTTTAGGATGTTAAGTTTTTGTCTTTTTTAAGTTTATTTTATTTCCCTTCCTTTCTTTTCTGTCCTTATGTCTCACATTATTTCTTCCTCCTCTCCTCTTATTACCCCCTCCCTCCCTCTCCTTCATTTCCTTCTCCCTTCCTCTTTATCCCTTTCCTTCTTCCTTTCCTTCTCCCTTCCTCTTTATCCCTTTCCTTCTTCCTTTCCTTCTCCCTTCCTCTTTATCCCTTTCCTTCTTCCTTTCCTTCTCCCTTCCTCTTTATCCCTTTCCTTCTACCTCTGTCCCTCCCCCTTTTCCCTGCCTCCCTCCCTCTTTCCCCCTCGGTCCCTCCTCCTCTTCCTCCTCCCCTCTATTTCTTCCTCTCCTCATTTCCCTTTCTTCTTCCTTCCCTCCCCTCCCTCCACATATAACCTGCCGCTCCTCCCCTCCACATATAACCTGCCTCCTCCTCCATATAACCTGCCGCCCCTCCTCCACATATAACCTGCCGCTCCTCCCTCCACATATAACCTGCCTCCTCCCTCCACATAACCTGCCGCCCCTCCCCTCCACATATAACCTGCCGCCCCTCCCCTCCACATATAACCTGCCGCCCCTCCCCTCCACATATAACCTGCCGCTGTTGGAGTGCACGACACACACACCCACCTCACAACATCCACAAGTTAATATACTTTCCTAGTCCCTAAGGTGACAGTCCGCCAACACACTACAGTATAAGGCAACGTCAAGGCCATAATATGTGTGTACGTACTTTCTATCAGGTTAGGTTAGGTTAGGTTAGGTTTGGTTTGGTTTGGTTAATATTCTCATAACTTATCACAGTATCCAAGACTTGCAACAGATAACTCGCTATAGTGCAATGATAACAAAATACACGACACTATAATAAGTATTAACTAACGATAACATAATAGGCTATCTTATGTATACAGTAAAATTCATATAACACATCACGTTAAAGTGTTGTAAATTACCCTAACCCACTAAGACAACTGAGAAATCTTATTATATGTAAGAAACTCCTTCAAGTAGTAAGTATAAAAGTTATACCAAAGAACAACAGAAAACGTAGCCATGTATACAAACGCAGGAACACGAACGGAAACAGATGTCCACAGTTTAAGACTTATCAGGCCATCTGGTGGGGTTTCGTGTATGTATGTATGTATGTATGTATGTATGTATGAGGGTGAGGGAGGGTGAGGGTGGAGGCAGGGTGAGGGTGGAGGCAGGGAGAGTGAGGGAGGTGTGTTGTAGCGAGTAGAGGATACTGTGTGATGACAGAGAAGCAGCTGATAACACTTCCTCTCCCTCCATCACCACCACCAGCCCCCTCCCCCCCTCTCTCCACCACCAGTCTTCACTCTCCCACCACCAGCCCTCTTCACCATCCTCAGCCCCCCCTCCACCACCCCCAGCCCCCCTCCACCACCTTTCCCTTCACCACCACCATCACCCTTCCCTTCACCACCACCACCCTTCCCTTCACCACCACCACTCTTCCCTCCACCACCATCACCCTTCCCTCCTCCACCACCACACCACCAACTACACAATATACATTTATAAACACAACTTTACATATGTAGAGTTTTATTGACACTCTGCCCAAACATCGAAACTGACATTCCTGACTTTACCTGAGACTCCTGACCAAAATACTCACGTCAGACCAACAACTAAAGATTTCTTGTTGAAGTTTTACGACACACGAACCCAAAACCACAAAAATGAACCAAATTATATGAAAAATTTGTCCCAGAATTTATTTATACAATCATGTGTGAAAATGTAAGGACAAACTATAGATGATTTCGAACATTAGCTGAATCTTTAGGCAAATAATTCGTTTTATCTATATCTTAATTATTGCGTTGATGTGTTATAGTTCTATCTTATATGTTATGAGTATATCCGGGTCACGTGATATATATATATATATAGATAGATAGATACCTGTATTTAATATTTCCAGGTATTTCTTTTATTTAATGATATAAGAGAATGTAATCTTTATGAACTCCAGTTGTCTTTGTAACAGGTATTGGTGCTTGGTTAGGTTAGGTTAGCGTTAACATTAGGGTGATTAATCTGGAGGAGGGGGGGGAGGGGGTGAGGTGAATGATCAAATAATCTGAAAAAAAATAAAGAAAACTTAAAAACATATTTTCTTTAACATTCACAAATGTTTGATACATTACCTTCAGCTTGTGGTTGTTGAGCTGCTCCTCCGCCACACCAGAGACCCACCACACATAACACAGCCACTTGGAGCTTCATGACTGAACCAATCACTGCCTCAGCCTGACTTTCTGTGGCAGTAAATCTCACACACACGATAACAAAACCCACTTGTATCGTTCACAGAGAATAAACAACTGCTACTGAGAGACGAGACTGAGATAGAGAGATAAAGAAAGCGAGAGTGAGAGTGAGAGAGAGTGAATGGAGACAGTTACCTCCAACGATAGAGGCACAACTGGCACTGACAGATGTCACTCTGAGGACTTATAAATGTATTTCCTCTGATAAAACTTAGTCATATCCTCTCCAACACTACATCTGTCTCGTGTCTGTAACCCGCCGAGGCGTCACCGTGCTTACCAAACGATCCACGGTGTCACCTAAGACCTTGAACAGTGTGTGACGCGACCGGCAGCCAAGACCGAACAGTACTTAACACTTGAGAATATAATGATTCATATAGAAGGTCATTCGGATAGGTTGAGACACCTTGTTTACCGTTTATCTCGACCGGATGCTGAGTCGTACTACCAGAGTCGTCACTGTGTCTTGGGGAGTGGTGAATGGACGGTCTTACCTGTTATTTTCTTTCTCTAAGCGGCCTTACCTGTACTGATGTCACGTGGCTTGTGGTCAAGTCAGGTGGTATTTTTTTTTTATTCTCGCTTACCCTGAAGTCATGTGGATTGTGGATACGTTAAACCAGGTGGATTTTAAATTATCCACACTTGCGTTGAATTCTTGTGTTTTGTGGATATTCCAGACCAGGTGGATTGCGATTATCCGTACCGTAATCAAATGGCCTGAAAATATCCATACGTTCACTGATGTCTATTGCCTTATGGATCATCCGACTCCTACAGGGGTGTTCATGATTATATAACATGTATAATGGTAAATGACATCGACACACACACACACACACGCACTCTCCAAGGATTGTGTAATTGTGTAAAATCAAATAAGCTTCAGTAAATAACGCCACATCCTTCGTGTACATCGTGATGAGGTCAGCGAGGGAGGGATGTGACGTAGGAGTGTGATGATGATGGTTGGTAGTGTACCGCAAGTCTCTGTCTGTCTCTCTCTTTACTTGTTTAATTATATTTCTATCTATTTCTTTCAACACCCCCCTCTCTCTCTCTCTCTCTCTCTCTCTCTCTCTCTCTCTCTCTCTCTCTGACTCACTGCCTTGCGACAACCCCTTATCAGATTTTCCCGCCTCTTGACGTCACGACACCTCATGCATGATAAGGGCAGCTGGCTCGACCCACCAGCTGCTGCTTGTGCGTGCGTGCATGGGAGAGAGAGAGAGAGAGGAATGACTGTCAGTATCTCATCAGTGGCGAAGGTTTGCCTGGCGTATCGTTTGACGTAAGCAGAGAGAGAGACAGAATAACTAGACGTTGTTGATTGTCTGAGTTTAAGGTGTCACTCCGAGTCGTCTTAGGATTGTGGGGGATTGGTTAGGCGAGGATGGCGGAATAGTGGATGATTGGCTGCCTGGGGTGAGAGTCTTGTGATTCGGTTGTGTAACTTGAGGCGAGGAATAGCATCAAGGGTGGAACTAGGTTAGGTTAGACATGGTTAGGTTATATTTACTGTAAATTGCTTTTATTTACATTTATGGATAATATTTTTTTTTAATTTACATTCACTTATCGTTCATTATTTTCAGTTGGAACTTCTCGTAAATTATTTTCACTTCTACTGTAAACTATTTTAATTTACACTAATTTACAACACACTCATATGAAGATTTTTTTTTTTACTGTGCTGTATTACTTTTAGTTATCATAACACAACAAATGATCAGTATCAGTGCTAACACACACACACACACACACACACACACACACACACCACTATCCACAAGCCAATAACCTAACCTATCCGCGTTTTACCCACACACTGACACTTAAATCCTACCCTTTCCACACCTTAAAACTGATAGCTTCGAGAAGAGTGACAGAGTGCTAATCTTCTCTTACTAACGAACACTTTGACGCTTAAATTCTATGCTGAGAGAGAGAGAGAGAGAGAGAGAGAGAGCCACGGATGTCATTGTCAGACTGAATGAACTGACAGTCAAATTCTAGGGTGTTTGTCAGGTATATCTGATGGGGCTTTAAACTCAGGTAGGTAGCGAGTGTTGATTGATTCTCGGGGTCAGGTGTAAACTTGGGTACGTAGATTCGATTATTATTTTTTTGTTTTACCTTTTTGAACAATGAATTGATTTGTGTAATCTTTTATCATTACCAGACGTTGTAGGTCACCTGAATGAAGTGTTAATTAGGGGGTTATACCTGCCTTGACTTACCTGGTGTGATGAAAAGGTAGATAGGTAGGCTTTGAGGTCCTTCTTGGCACTGCTGGAGGAACACATACACACACACACACACACACACACACACACACACACACACACACGACTCAAATAAGTTAGCAATCATGAAATTTTAACTGGAATAATGCTTAAATTTTATTCTTCATCTTATATCCACAAGTTAAATACATTCCTTCACTATCACTCATAAATATTCACTATACGAAACTTTAAGAATCCGGACCTAGACGTGACCCTTATCCCTAGGACGTAACAATAAGTATATCCGTGTTGTGTAACGTGTATAGAACCTGTTTACCACCAGGTTTTAAAAAGAGGCAGAAATTGTAACTTACAGGCAGCCGTGTCTCACTGATCATACGGAATCATATCCCTGTCTTGTTGCCACTTCACATTGTTTTCCTCGTCTCAACCTTAGCGTCACGTCCGGTAGCTTGATCAACACTCCTTCAAACCTCTCATCCTGATCATAAACTTCATCATTAAATTATATATAATAAAGAATCAACAACAGGTATTTGATCGTTCTAGTTGATGTATAAGTAAAAGTTTAAATATCTTTGAAAATACGTGACAGCAAAACAACATGTGGTCCTCTGGGAATGGGTAATCAGGTATCATAAACGATTAAATAAATGAGACAGGAATCACTCAGCTAGGGGAAAAAAAAAAACCCAGGATAGTCTGAGTGGGGGGAAGAAAGTGGTGTGGTTATCCTCTAGGAAAAGTAAAGTTTATATTATTATACCAGAAATTCGCGTTAAAAGTACTTAATAGAAAACAACAACAACAACGACACACAAAATTAAAAGGTTTCTCTTATCTCTCTTCACAACAATGATAACACTGTCATGTCGTATTCTTCACGTCGCTTCCAACTAGGTCTTATTTACATGTTTCTCGGGGTACCAATTTTCACCTATTTCCGTCACTTATCCGAATATAAAGTGTGAAGCTTATAGTCTACCGTCAACGAACACCCCCCCCACCCCTCTCTCTCACCCTCTCCTCACCCCTCACCCCCCTCTCCTCACCCCTCACCCTCTTCATCCCACGAGCCAGACCCAGCCAGAGATATGTACTTTATACCCAGTGATTCGTGGTACTCAAGCAAGAATCTCCCCATGCTCGTTTGTTTATTTCTCAGTATAGACTTTTGAACCGAGAGAGATAAACAAAGGTAGAGTTAATTTTCTTAAATGTTTTTTGTTTCCACTGATATTTTTGTGTGTTTATCTTTTGTTTGTCTGAGTCTTTTTTTCTATGTTTTAATTCTGTGTTTTTCTCTTCTCTCTCTCTCTCTCTCTCTCTCTCTCTCTTCCGACCCATAAAGCAACGTGGGTCACACCACTATAGGTCACTGCACTACAGGACACGACACACAGCACTACAGGCCACAGCACAACAGGTCACAGCACTACAGGCCACAGCACTCCACAGCACTACAGGTCACAGCACAGGTACAGCACTACAGGCCACAGCACTACAGGCCACAGCACTACACAGGCACACACTACAGCACTACAGGCCACAGCACAACAGGTCACAGCACTACAGGCCACAGCACTACAGGTCACAGCACTACAGGTCACAGCAGGGACTCCTGACTCTCACAATCTCCAGGTTATATAAATTCATTTGAAACTCTCATAAAAAGTTCCATTTACTTAACACTAAACATCTTTCAAAACTTTCCCTTATATAAAAGTTCCAAATATGAGCGATAAATTAAACTTTTTCGTCCACTTTTTCGTCACGTCACGCCTTATTGGAGCATTTTTCGTCACTTATTGGTAACTGTGTGTGTGTGTGTGTGTGTGTGTGTGTGTGTGTGTGTGTGGGGATGGAGGCTTTTGTATTGTCTGTATGTTTGTGTATGTTTGAGTCTCTCCTTTGTTTGTGTAGACGCCTGTGTTTTTTGTTTGTTTACCTATATATGTTTTTGTTTGCTTGTCTTGTTTACATGTATGGATATCTATGTTAGTCCTTACCAGTGCAAAACTAACCATACAAAACAACACTAAATTCTACCTCTGAAACACAACCACACCATACCAATACTAACCATAACCAAACCATACTAAACCTGTGAAAACAATCCCATACAATAAGAACCACTACCACCATAGAACCAGTATTGCCAGAACCACTAATCTTGTCAAACCTCATTTAAATATGACTAATGATGCACCCAGCTGACTGTGAGTGTTCATCTGTTTGGCTATACTTCAGGACCTTACACACACTCGTATCGACTTTTCCCTCCCAGGCCTCTGTTGACATGGGGTTGTAAAGTAATATAAATTTGACTTAGGAATAATAAAGTTAATTTCTAATTGATATATAGATCTATAGGGGGATATAATTATGTGCTAGTATATTCTGATTGGTTAATATAGTAATTAGTATATAATTTATTTTGTTATAGAATTGGTGTTTATTATATATCATAGTATAGTTGGTGTCTAATTCACATATTGCATTTTTTTATGATTGAAAGGTAATTTATGTATGAATCTATAATTCTCATTGTATAATTTATTGATAATATATTACAATATAAGACAAAAATATATATTATTAATTATACTACAGAGAGAAGAAGAGAAGAAATTATAGAGAAAGATAAAGGAGGAGGAGACATAGGGATAAAAAAGAGAATGAGAGAAATGATAGAATAACAAAGGGGAGGAGAGGAAGAGGTATTAAGGGGTTGATGGGAAAGGGGGATGTAGGGGAGATTTTCAGGGGGTTAAGGGGTATAGGAGGAGGGGAAAGAGAAGGGGAGGGGAGGGGGGATGGGACCCGAGAGAGGAAACACCCTGACAACCAAAAGTCATAAATCAGGTCGCCTGGATTTGCATAATGTCATACACCCTTTGAGAACAGTCAGCCGTAGAGATAGTCAGCCGTAGCGTCAGCCGTAGAGATAGTCAGCCGTAGCGTCAGCCGTAGCGTCAGCCGTAGAGATAGTCAGCCGTAGCGTCAGCCGTAGAGATAGTCAGCCGTAGCGTCAGCC